AGGAGAAAGAAGTACATTTACCTTTTCAAGCAGTTTGAGGAAGGAAAGATCAGTCCAGGGAGAAGAGTGTATACATGTGGTGGAACAGTGTGTGAAAAGCATCCATAACATAGATATTCAAAAAATGGTAATCACAGGAAATTTTGAGGAAAGAAGTCTGGAAAGAAAATGTGACAAAAGGAAAGAACCAAATGGCTTCAATGAGGCACTACTGAGAATGTGCAAAACCCCATTAAAGTCTCAGTTAGGCATGGGAATCAGGTGGGGAGATCGAAGAAGCCACACAGAGTGGATAGGACAGAGGAAGATATACCGTGTGGAAGTGGGAAGTGCAAAATGCCATGGACAAGGCCACCCAACAACCAGTAAAGGCAGAGACAGACAAACCAGGGATGAACACCCAGGTAAAAAAGGCAGAAAGGTGGTTCACAGTCTGACAGCCAGAAGTAAAGGAGAGCAAATGGACAAATGACAAAAGACCCACCACTTTTCTTGATAGACAAACACAGTGGAAGAGAGACAGGAATGTGACAATAAGAATGCCACACAATCAGAAAGTTCAGCCCCACAGGTAATGAATCAGGCATATCCCGTACATGAAAATGGAGGAAAGATATCCTTTGTTGAAAAAGGGATCTGAGAGAATGTAGCAAGAGAGAGGAGATATTGGGTAGAGGAAGAAGAAGTCAGAATGCCAAGTATACCAAGGCTGAGCTGGCCAAAGAGGCACCAACAATAGAACCTGACAAGGAGAGCCACATATCAAGAGGAGGACATGAGAAGGGGAAAATGATGAGAATAGGCATACAGAAAGTTGGTTGAGAGCATCGACAACCAGAGTCAAAGGATGAGTAACAGGGGACCAGAATAGAGGAAGCATGGTGTTGGAAAGGTTGACAAAGGCATTCATGAAGGGTGTATACAACCAAGAACAAATCCAACAGAAACCTGGAAGTGTAGAGACCACTGTTGGTAGAATGCAGACTGACTGAGAGAGGCAATTTGCCACCAAGGTCTTAGCTCCCAGAAAGTGACATGATAACAAGACAAACCTGATGCAAATGGTCCAAGAAGAGTATGTCCACTGCCCAAATCCACAGGGTCCTGGACAGTTGGTGAAAGAACCAACCATGCAATTAATTAAGTGTATCATGACCAAGTGATCTACTGATATGGACAGAAATGGAAACATGCCCAACCAACAGTGAGAAGTTTAAGCCCACGAATGTGGAGTGAAGGCTCAGCCTGTGTCCAAGTGCCAGAAGTCACGCTCTCATCCAGAGATGTGCCTCAATCAGAGAGGGAAACATCAGTGAAGAGATAGATCCAGCATGAGAGTAAGTAAGTATATACTGGATGTAGTATGGGCACAGTTCAGTCACAATGGCAACTCCTCGAGAAGAGGATCACAAATAAGGACCAGGGAACCCAAAAAAGAAGCCTGTGAATTTGCCAGGTCTGCTGAATGAGGGGCTTGTTCGCAAAACCTAAAAGAATGACAGGTTTCTGAGAAGCCAAAGTCCCAACAAGCAAAAACATTTGTTGCATAGGAAGTGAATGAGAAGCCCAAAACCTGATGGCCAGATACACAATGGCTCACAGGCAAAGAGGAATGGGCTAATCTTGGCTGAAACAGGAGATGAAAAAAACGCCCAAAAGTACCAAATATTGAGTGGGTGTGAGAAAGAATGTAGATCTAATGACAAGCCCCTCCAATCAAGGAGCATTCTGTAAAAAAAAGGTGTAAGAAGAGGAAATCATCTGAGAATGGGCCAACATCAGCCAATCATCCAAGAAAAGAAATTCCAGCCCTAGGCGATGAATATGGTGAGTAAAGGCCCACATGATACCAATGATTACAAAAGGGCTCACAATATGTCAAAGGAAAGATCAAGGAAGGGAAGATATGCAAATTGATGGATGTAACATAGAAAACATATGGAGGACATGTCAAGAGTGATGGATAGAAAGATATCCAAAACATTGACCATGGCCAACTGCAGACCAGGTAAAAAAGAACACAGAGAGGGTCAAGGGGGGGGGGGGATGAGATGAGAAGGAAGAAGAAAGACCAAGGTAGAAAATGAAAAACGATTGTTGGCAGAAAATGAAACCAACAGCAGGAGAAGAGATGGGTGTCCATGTGGTGTGATGTGGAATGATAGTTACTAACAAGAAGAGAGACAAACTAGACATTTGGCAGAGGGAGGATGAGAAAAAGAGGAAGTCCAGGAACTTGGAATAGGAAGGTTAGGGGTAGACTAATCCAGATGGAAGACCGAAGTAACGAGCAAGGTTGAGAAAGAAGAAAAACCTGGAAAGATAATGAGTATTGAAGCTGTATATCAGTCCAGGTCTTCAGAGAGAAATAGAAAACAATAAAGACATACAAGCAAAGAAAGGGAGCCTGTCAAAGACTAAGTACACAAGAAGGAGTAGAATAAAGAGGAACGTAACCCAACCCAAAATGTTCTAATATCAGGGGAACAAAGTAAAGAGAGATATAGCAAAAGAAGTGGAATGGATTCAGCTGGCAAATAGAAGGGAATAAGCTTTTAAAGAAAACCCATCTGAAGAACGATTAACCCTATTGTGGCGGACATCCTTTACTGCACGTCTTGAGGATTTAGTGACTTATATTCCAAATTTTATTAATCTACTTTTTGTTTATGTTATACCAATTAGTATAGCATGAAACCATAGATAATAATCCATATTTTAATAATATATAAATTTTAAGTTCTTAATTTAATAAAATAATATTTAAAAAAATACTGAATTTCCCCCAGTGTGACAGATTCTCTCTAGGCAAGAAAATCTATTACTTGAACATTGTCTGCCAAGTGCACTCTTTCTGCCTGGGTGACTTGGATCCTGGCATTGTTTTCTGACCATACCCTCAAACTGAAAGTTCATACAGTGAAATTGTGAGGTCCTTAATTTGAGATCACTGATTTTTGCATGCTAAAATTGGTCTGAGATTATGTAGTGGAGAAAATGCCTCAGTTAGGTCAAATGCACCACCTTTCCCTAGCAGAACTTAACAGGGCTGTTGGGATGCTGCAGGGAGACATGACTCAACACTGGGTTACTGCTGCTCCTGGTACATCCCAAAGTGTGGTGTCCAGAGCCTGGAACAGGTTCAGATGGTTTGACACAGTCAACAGGAGACATGGTAGAGGAAGGAGGAGACAAATAACTTCACAACAAGACTGCTACTTGAAGGGATCACTTTGCTCCAGCTGTTAACCTCCATAACACCCTCCAAGATGCCACAGGAGTTCGAATGTCAACACAGACAGTTAGCAGACGCCTTCATGAAGTTCAGTTGAGGGCTAGACATCCTGCTGTTCATGTTCATGCAGGATAGTTTGGAGACTCCCAAGTGAGCACAATTTACATCAGAATGTCATCGAACATGATTGCTTTGGAAGAGGCTCAGTCATGGTGTGGGGAGGCATCTCAATTGCAGGCTGTACTGACCTTGTAATTATCCAAAATGGAAGGCTCACCGGCATAAGATACAGAGATGAGATCCTTGCACCCATTGTTCATCCATATGCAGGTGCAACATGGCCAGTCTTCCTGCTTATGGATGACAATGCATGTTCACACTGTGTAAGGGCAGTGACTGCCTTCCTGGAAGCTGAAGGAATTCCCAGGATGGAGTGGCCAGCTAGGTCTCCTGACCTCAACCTAATATTTACTCAATTTGACTGACCTTGTAACCACCATAAAAAAAATTAGGAAATAATATCTAAATTACACTTTTTTTGTTCCCCAATTTATAGTTTTAAGTCATAACATAAAACTATAAATGTTTATTCCAAATAGTTTAAATCTTGTAATATTATTATTAGCTTTGTTCTAATTGGACCATTATTTCATAGAATACAATCACATTTCCATTATAATACATTACACATATATAATTATTACAATTTACAATTAAATTCTTAAATTTCAGTTATTTTTCTTAAAACACAGAACAGTAAATACAGAAATATAGAAAACGATATCTTCTACTTATGAAGTTTGTACTCACCGTAATTTACTAAGCCTTGTCAAATTCTGCACATAAACGATGTAGGAATTCTGTTTTAATATTTACTTTCAAGTTAAGAAATTAACTAATGTATAATACTAAAATTTGAATTATAATATAAATTTGATACTAAACTCATTGACATACATTCATGTAATTGTATTTCAATACAATTTTGAATATAAATCTACAAAAATGATAACCTTCCCTTAGATCCCTACCCACAGGGTTAAACAATAGTTGCAGCATCCTTGACAACTAACGAGCCTTTAGAAGCCATAGTAGAAATAAGTTCTGTGTGTGAATAATGTATTTACACAGGATTAAGTGTATGTCACTGTCATTTGAGGATTCAAGATAAAAAAATTAAAGCTTTTGAAACTAAAGTAAAAAAAAATGAAAATCAAAATTTCCTTAACAATGCAAATCTCAAATTGAAATCAGGTGAGAAATTTTAAACATGTCTATTCAATACAATGCTGAGGAAAAGAATGAATTTATCACAAGTGCAAGTGCATAGGGGGAAGTTACCAAACATAGAGGTAGTGTCACCTTCCTACAGATGGAGGGCTTTTGTTACATAACATCATCATGTACCAGTGCAGTTCATGTTAAAACATGCAAATGTTTTAGGCAAATGCATGAGGAAGATAGCTTTTCTAGTTTGTGTGTGTGTGTGTGTGGAGGTAAGTTATCATCTCGGAAAATTACCATATACCAGCATAGTTCACGTTAAAGCACATAAAATTAGGTGGGAGTTGCCTCAAGGCTAGAGTTATGCAAATATTTTAGGCAGATGCATGAGAAAGATGTGTGGAGGTGAGTTATCTCAGAAATATACGGTTAGTCTCTTAATATTGACACATTTATCATATCAAATAATTCCATTGTTTAGTGTTTTTACATTACCCCTTAATTACATTTCTTACTATTTTTTTCAGTTTTACAAATAAAACTAACCAGTATGTGTCCTTATGTGAGTTTTAAGGTGATGACTTGCTGCAAATGCTTTACCACAACCATCTTCTTCACATCTAAAAGAAATAAAAACACAGTCATATATCCTAGTATTTGATTACTACTAGTCCATTGACAGAATATAAGAAGCATAAATAATACATGCCAAAATAATTTAAGTTCTTCTGCAGTAAGACATTAATAAAAGCCACCTTTTGTTTTTTCATGAATATCTATAAAAAGAATATTCATAAATTTGAAACTGTACAAAATCATATATCACCATCTAAACAGAAAGATATTGCCTGATATACACTTAGTATTATTCTTAGTGTTTACAGGAACTTCTCTGTCCAAAAGGTCTGAATGTCAAATTTTTCATATTTTGGTCACTTTTGTATTATATTTTTATTTTGTGAAATAATTTTATAAAATAATTAATTTTCTGTGCTTGAATTTCTAGCTTGATATGACATTAATTCATGTAATCCAAAATTAAAACCACAATGAATATGTTCAGACAATTATTTATAAACAATAAAAAAACAGTATTTACATGTTTAACATTTAATTTACAGAGAAACACAAGAAACTAGATTTATTTGGACTGTGTTTAAGTTACATAAACCTGTAGAGTTCAGAACTGGTGAGCACTTCAGTCTAAAATTGCAATATTTTATCTATTCCTGTGGCTTGGACAAAGGATGTACTCTTACTATCCTACATATGACATACTGATTAGTGTATGAATACCACACCTGCTACAGTTACCCTAAAACACTGTCATCCCAGTCAACTCAGCAGTATGCACAAGTGGCATTAAGGGAGGTGCAAAGAATGCAATTGCATGGGGGCCCCATAACAAAAAAGAAAAATTCAAGCTCCACTATTGGCTATGGAGTAGGACTTTACTAAAATTTACTAAAGCCACCAATGCCAGTATGATAATCCCTACAATATAATGCAGATTTGTCAGGTTCTTATAGATTATTGATATTAGCCACCATTAATCACTACCTGCAGTTTGAAATGGTCATCAGGGATCAGCTTACCAAGTCAAACAAACTGAGATGAAATGTTTAATTTTAAGATTTATCTGAAAATGGTTAGTGAAATTACAATTACAAATGTTTTAATGAAATCAACAGGTAAATAATATATGCACATTTGGTAAAATGAAGTTATGATGTTGTTGTCTTCTTAGTGCAAGGCCATGCAATGCGCTATATGCAAGCTACTATACAGGTCAGAACTAAAAATATAAACCTAATAATGAACATACCTAATAAAATATAATGTTCAGACTACATTAAGTGTAATGATTAGAATGCATTGTTTCATTTGTTGGGTACCCTTGCTGCTCATGATATTTAAGCTTATTGTCCAGCACTATGAAAATGACATTTTGAACTACTAAGTACATCTCTTCATAAGATCTATTCTAACATTTTGAAACATTACATTCAAACTACAACAAGTGGAATAGGTTGGTAACTATTTAACAACTTTAAAAATAATGCCAAGGATATGAATAATCATACCTTATTGGCAGGTAATCTAAAATAAGTAGTTACCTTCAAATACTTCATACACGAACACATAAAAACCACTTCTAAAACATTTTTTCTTTCATGTTTTGTTTGGTAAAAACTACAATTCTACCTTAAACTTTAGTAGTAAACAGCTTAACCCTACAACAGTATATTCAACTATCATAATATGTGCTAATCCAAAACTTTAAAATTCAAAGTAGATCTATAATTTGACAGTCTAATGTAGCCTTAGTCCAGTATAAAAAATTTCAATATAAATATATATGATACCACACATTAAAATATATGGTAGTAAACCTAAAATGTCATTTTAAATATTATTTACTATATATATTTTTAAATACAGGTTTAAAATAATGCAGAAAAACATGACAAAAATCTAATGCTCACTTGTATGGTTTTTCTCCTGTATGGGTCCGAGTATGTTTTCTCAAATCACTCAATGTAGTAAAAAACTTGAGACAACCTTCCATTTCACAGTTAAATGTGTTTCCTGTGTGAATCCTTTTATGGGCTTTTAATCTGAATAAGTGACATAAAGTTTTACTAAAACAATGTCTAGCATCTAACTACAGTAATTACATTTATAAGATTTGCAAAAATACTACTCTCAAATCTAAGTCAAGTGAGTCAAACTAAATGATGCACTAGTTTTTATTTTATAAATATTTACAACAATTATCCCATATTACTTAATGCCTATGAAAACTACATACAAAACATTAACATTTTCTATTTCCAAAAATGTTTCTTAAAAATACTCACCTCTCCACAGAATACACATCCAATACTTATGTTACTGCCAAGATATTTTTGTACTTACACTAAGCCTTTGAACAAAACTCCCATCCCTACACATAATAGAGTGCACTGTGCCAGTCTATGATTCAATCTGCATTACACTATAGTCCTCCACCAATAAAAGGGAGACATATCTTCCATATACTGTACTTCCCCTTGAGCAACTTGTGCATACCACAACCTCATTCTTAATGAGGCAAAGGAGTAAGAAGAGTGACTGGTTCTGTGGAGAGGTGGGTATCTACCTGAAACACATTTTCAGGTAAGGATAATGTTAACTTCAAAAACGCTCTACACAACAGAGAGCTACAATACCACATTGAGAAGATGGTGGAGGGACTGGTGTATATAAAGAAATTAAAAAGTTGTGCATCTTTTTTTTAGAATGTATTGATCGAAAGTGATATTTCACTCAAGAAGTATCATTCACTGGGGAGGGGGAACTAGTGGGCATGACAACGGAAGTGGTAGTTGAGAAAGGTTCTGTCAAAAGAATCTCTTGTGTGATGTTAAAGTGTGTCATAAAAGTGGGCAGAACATAAAGCCAAGCCAAGCTGTATATCTCAAGGGGTTGGTAGACCATATAGGTGTAGATGGCTAGGATAGCAAGTCAAGTTAGAAAGTATGTGAGAAACACTTACGTGGTAGTATCTTCAGGATTTCTGGAAAAGCAGAGAATTCTGGGCTCACAAAAACAAAAGGTTTGTGGATCTCATCTACAGGTGTGTTGCATAGGTTGAATTATAGTGTAAAATGAGCTCTTTCTAATGGTTATAAACATGTGTATCAAATAAGTACATGCGGCTTGTAAATCTCAAGGCTAAGTATTAAGATGGGTGTGTCACCTGTCAGGGGTTAGCAAAATTTATTTCTTCTTTCAACTGAACTTGTCCAAAGAACTATAGAACATACATGTAAATAGCGCAGTAAATGTAGTTTGTGTCTAGATGTACATCTACATACACTGTAGTTTTCTGGTTCAAAATAGATTGTGAAAGTTCAGATTTATGAATGGTCATGCATCATATGATAACAAAACTGAAGTTTAAGTATTTTTTTAAAGGTTTCTTTTGAAATTAATGAATTAAAACATAGATAACATAAAACTGAATTATAACATACATTATAATGTTAATTTCATTGACATACATTGTTAGTAAGTTGTTTAATTACATTTTGAAAGTAACTCAGTGACTTGTGCAGAAAAGAGTTTAAAGGGGTACCCATGTCAAAAGTGTTATGTAGCCCACAAAACATAGTAACAGTAAACCATACCAAAATTGGCAAATATCAATGTAGAACTTTTCTAAAATTCTGAGACAAATACTTTAAAGCAAATTCTACTTTAAGTCTGGTTAAATTTGCTTTAAATCTGTGTTGAAATTTTCCAAAAATCTGTGAAAATCCCAAGAATATCTGGCAAGTTATGTAATATCTATGGTAAATCTGGTCTCCTAGGCCCCAACATGTATCTTAAACAGCAAAGTTTTGTAAATTTAACTTTTAAGCTGATAGAAATATGTAGTACAACAAGTACTACAAATGATATACTTACCAGAATAAGCAGGTGCAGGGATGAATCATCCCAGATTTGCATCCTAAGGAGAATGCAAAACCCATCAGGTTGGTCACAACCCCTGGGGAAGGTGCAGTTTGTAGTATAAGAGTGGTCTGTTCTACACTTCCAGGTAGCCACCCCAGCCCTACTTCCAAATGATGGGTACATCCAATCAGATCTAATATCAAAAAGATTGCATCAACCCAAAAGAGCAGTACAGCTTGGAAATGAAATACAAAAAGTACCAAAGCAGTCTTGTAGAAAACCCCATCAGATGGGCTTAACACATTCTGTTCTACATATTTGATGCAGATTTTAGGAAAAAAGAAGTATTCCTCATGAAACAACACCAGCTACATAGTGGGTGCCATTGTTTCCAGTATACATATTTAAAAAACATTTCAGTGGTTGATTTTTTTTCTGTGGGAGCTAAAAGAAATAATCAACAAATCATCTCTTTAGAACCTCTGGGAAGAATGGAAAATTGCAAATGAAGGAAGGCAAAACCCAGACACAGAAGAAACTGTGATGTTGTGTAATGAACATGACACGAAAGTATTTGGGGTCATCCACATCCCCACCTGTAGTATTTCATCTGGTAAGCATTAAAAACCAGAGACAAGAGCAGCTGAGGGATGACAGACTAAATGGGAGGTAACAGAGAAATAGACAAGCCAGATGAGTTGTTTAACTCAACTGGTCAAGGTAGAAAGAGATAAGGCATGAGAAGAAGAGAAATCCCACAAAAGAAATACGATAATGACAACTGCCTCAAAAGGGAACAATGTGAATGAGTTAACAGCAAACTGCTCACATCATACATAAAAAATAGGATAGAGATTGAAGAAAACATTCAATTATTTTCTTGAGCAACCCAATCCTTAGGAAAGAATGAGCAGATCCTGTGGTAAAGTATTTAAGAAATATCAAAACCAAAGATATTAGAGTGATATCTTCTGCAAGTGAGAAGAAATTAAGTCACAAGAAAAAGGTGGTACAGGGAAAAGACATCCAAAGATATGAATGGAAAACATGTAAGATCCCTGAGAATTAAACAGAAGTTCCAGGCCAGAAGAAGAACCAAATGAGAAGGACAACTGATTTAAAAGACTCAGAAGGAACCATTAGAATCAGAAAAGTAAAAGGGGATTGCCAAGGGACAAGCCAGGAGGTTGTCAACAAAGTCACTCTGTAACAAGCAACTGTAGAAATGGACAGACCATCCATTTTGTGGTGACTATAGATGCCTCATTAGTCTCCTTTCTGTCTGGTTTCCCCAAACTTCTACTGCCTGATATATTGCCAATCACCAAGTCGTAGATGGGTGCCTTCATACACACATGGCCTCAAGATCTCCCACATATTACGGAGTGTTCACCTTTATTCTTGCTATGGGAAACTTTCTCACTGTCCCACCAATCAGCACATAAAGATGTACCTTGCCTGTTATCTGGTCATCAGATACTAGACTGTTCTCACTGTTGTACCCAGTATCTCGTGGGACTTTCACTTTCTTGTTCCTGACATAGCCTTCTCCTACTGGCAGGTTGTAGTTCATTAGCACCTTTCAATGTTTATAACATGTTCTGATCACAAATGGCATTGTTGACCCATTTGCTTGAGTTGACCATCAATCATGCACTGTTTAATCATGGTGATAGCACTTCATTCTTGTGGTGATCTGACAAGTTGTCTTCATCTGTTTTTTCTGGCAGCAGCACCCATGGTGACATTCACTCTTTTCTTGTTTTTTTGCCAGCAACATCTTTGTAGTTTGCTCCAGCTGCTTTATGTTGAGATTTCTGCTGCAGCTTGTTGGTGACAGACTTGGACTCATTCACAATGTGCCCCATTTTATGACAAGCATAGTATCTCTTCTCCCTTTTGTCTGTTGATTTCTTGTCAACTTTGGTGACATCCTGCTTCTGGGCAGCCACCCCGGTTTTGACTTTTAACTAGTTAGTCTTGGACTTTCTGGTTATACTTCCTCCACAGACTTCCATATATAGTTCTGCTAGCTTGATCATCTCATTCATGTCTTTCGGTGCTCTCTCCTTTAGGAACAGAGACATGTCAGTGGAATACATGATCATGAACTGTTTACATATTAGTAGATCTTCCAATCCTTCAAAACTATCTTCATTGTAGACATGCCACAAACTGAAATACAGTTTCTCCAGTTTCAGGTTTACCTCTCTGAACTTCTGACGAAAAACTTCCTTGATAAGCTCATAGCATTTGAGCAAGGCCACTTTTAACTTGTCATAGTTCATGGCATCTCCCAACATCATGCCCACATACACTTGTTGGCCTTTCCATGTGAGAAAGGGCTGAAATAGACTGCCCAGTTGCCTTTGTCCCAGTTCTGACTTTGGGTGAATCTTTCATATGTCATCAGGAAAGCATCCATGTCATCTTTCTGTTCATCAAATTTGGGTAGCTTGGGTAAGCCGGTCCTGATCTCATTGTCATTCTTGGGTCCTCCATCTTTCTGTTGGGTGAGCTTGGCAATCTCAATTTGTGCTCTTATTCACTCTATTTCCAGTTTCACCTCTCTCTCTCTCCTTTTCTTTTTTTTCTCAACTTTTTGGGCTTGTATTTCATACTCATGTTCTTCTTTCAGTCTGTCTCTATTTTCCTGTCTTATCTGCCTCCTCTCTTCTCTTGTCTGTTGATGCTCTTCTCTTTCCAGGTTATATTTTTGTTTAGTAAATTTTGTAGATCATCAGCTTTGAGCCCAAGTCACTTGCTCCTCTCTATCCAGTTGTCAAAGTCAGATTATATACTGTGGTTGTGACTTCTACAATATTTTCACCACTGCTACAGCTGCATATATATATATATATATATATATAAGCCTACTTTCCTGCTGTTGTTTATGTCTATCACCATTTACCATTGTATAATCCTGGCTGGCTCACTAGTGTCAGGTTTTATGTAGGTATGTACGTATGGATTCTTTACAGTAGTTGTCTATGACTTGTTGGCAATACATTTTAACAATAAACAAACAGCATACAATCCAGATGTCTCTAAGAGAGATTGAGGGCGTCAAATGTCAGAAAGTAAGGCATTCCATTATATTACAACAAGCCAAGTGTACATACAAAACTTTGTTATACTGTTGATTATCACAGTTGTATCCAGAGCTTTAAATAATTGTCTCTTTTTCATCAAAGCCCACACAGACTAGTTCAGTTACTTTAGAACACAATTTGACAAGATGAATTACTCTTATCTGCTCTGTTATTAAAATACAATCTGTGATTATCTAGAAATGCCACTATATGCCCTTTATGCCTATACTCACAATCACTCAGTCTAGATCTATCTATCTATCTAAATAACTTTAATAATCATCGTGTTGGTTGAGACTCTCTTGACTAGCATGCACATTTGAATTTCTGACCATCAGTCGATGCAGCAAGGATGTCCGCTAAACGATGTAGATGAAGAGCAAAAAATATTATTTAGAGGGGGTGGTGGTAAAAATGTACAATCTAATAACTGATAAACAGGAGAGAAAATAAGAATATACAACAGGGATTTTTTTTATTTTTCCACACAGGTTTTAACTAAAATATGAAACTACATTTTGTATGCATATTTATAGCTCGACTGAGGCCTAGAACCTTGTACACACTAAGAGATATTATGATGTAATAATACTCAATCAAAACAAGGAGAAAAACTTAGAAGGTTCTAAGAGAGATTTATGTGGTCAAATGTCAGAAGGTAAGGCATCACAATGAAGTATGTCCCAGAAACAAAGAAACCAAGTTAACTGGGATAAAATGGAAGAAGGAAATTGAGGGCAATGTGAAAAAAGGTATGTGCAAGTTTCAGCAGTAAAGCTGAAAGAGTTGTGATGTAAAGCCTCTAAAAGGTGAAGCATGGACAGATGGCAAAGAAGCAGATTAAGAAACAGACACAAATAAATGGAGAGTGAGAGAGATAAGAAGAAGGAAAAAGAAGAGCTCCACAAGCTGAAAAGAAGAGACTCAAATGATGGCTGGTCATGCAACAAGGTAGCCCAAGACTCAGCAAAAAACAAATGTAGAAAGAGAAACAATACATATATATCTCTGTAATACAAGCAGTGAAGGATGAACATGAGATTATCTGATCCTCATCAGAAAGATGGAACTAGAAGCAAAAACAGGCATGAAACTATACTGGTGAAACTCATCGAAAGATAGGGCAGGCACAGCTGAAGTAATAGAAAGAGAAAGTTGGGAATCCTGTATCCAAAATAAGAATGTAGGTCTGGGGTCAGAGGGGCAGCTGAACCCCAAACAACCACCCCCTCTTATCGGCTGCCCATCTGAAGTGTGCACGTTGCACATGCTCAAGATCCAGCCCTGCATTGAAAAAGGCTCATTCTTTTCTTGACACTGCTTTGTTCAGATGTGTATTTTTCACAGGAATTAATGGTGTTTTTACACTTATTATTTTAAACTTTCATTACCAGTTGCACTTTTCTGTGATAAGGATTCTTTCACAGTACTGTTTTCTGTTGTTTTAACCCAGCATACAAGTATTGTTAAGTCCTCTTTCATGTCATCATTAGGCCAGTGACCTAGGCCTTTGCACAATTAACAAACCAGGTAAATTTTTATTTCTAAAAAAGAAATCAGTTTTGTGGATCATCTGTATTATAAATTGATGTTTTCATGTTTCTGACATCTCCAGAGGTTATGACGCTCCTTAACAGGAGTCATCCAATACTGTAAAGGTTACTAGAGCACTCTTACAGTCAGTAATGTTACCATCATTGTGCACCAAGTGTTTGGTTTCAGTCTCTCTCTTGTTGGAAATGGTGTTAATTTGGTTAGGCAAAAGTGTTTCAAGAACTGTATTGAAAGTTTTCCAATCTGCTTTAGTGCAGTTGTATACTGGTAGGAGGTTAATGCGTGTATCCTGTTTGCTGATTTGTATAGTAAAGTGGTCGCTAGCTATGTCAGGGTGAACCATGAAGTTTTGGGAAAAAGGAAGGAGGGAGGTAGGGATTATAGTGAGTTCAAATATTCATAATTATTTGTGACTGCATGATAATGTGTTGAGAGTTATTGTTAATGAAATACATGTCACTGTTTTCAAGTTGTGTGTGAAGGCTGAGGCCTCTGGCATTGGTCCGGTAACTGTGAAAGTCAGCGTGTGGGGCATTAAAGTCTCCAA